CAGAACTTTCTGCGAGCCCAGCTGCGTCAACTTTGAACTTCCCTACTGAATCGTCCTTGACTACTGCCAATGCTCCCTTTGATCTCTGTTTATTTAACACCAGCATGATATAATTGAGGATATGGTACAGCTTCGTCTTCTCTCAGCAGGCTCAAACGCCCAAGGCCAACTCGGCACGGGCAACGATGACGACGCACACACGTTCACGCCTTGCATTTTCTCAGGTTACCCTCCTGGATCGTTGCCCGACGACGCTATCACCATCTCGAATATCGCATGCGGCTCTAACCATACGCTCGCATTGCTCGTGCACGAGGACGGTGCATCCTTATGGGGATCTGGCGATGGGCGCAAAGGGCAGCTGGGCCCGTCAGTCAACGCACCCACCACGTCCGTGTTCAGATTGCTAGACTTGCAGCTGCAGAAGCAGGACGCGGCATTGGAAGGATATGTACCGCGTATGATCGCAGCCGGGTGGGAAACGTCGTACGTCGTGTTATCGTGCGCGGGTCGCAGCGACGTGCTGATCTCGATGGGTGCCAACGAGTACGGGAACCTTGGGATCGGCGGCGTAGTCGATAAATCCGCTCCTCGCAAACCCTTCTACGTTGTGGACTTACAAAAACCCCTTGCTGAAGACGGTCTCGGCGACGGTCTGCTTACCATTCGGAATCTAGCGACCGGTCCACAACATATTATCGTTCAAACGTCCTTCGCTACGCCAAAAGCGCCCTCAAGATGGTGTCTCGTAGGCTGGGGGGCTGCTAGGCATGGCCAACTTGGGACATCCGATGAGACGAAGCCACCGCTGTTCGTCTCTACTCCTCGTACGGTTCGTATATACGCTGTTGACGATATCACTTCCATATCACTCGGACATCAGCACTCGATTTTTCTCCACGCATCTGGGCGGCTCTCTGGACTGGGATCAGACCGTAAGACCCAGTTACGGGGTTTGGAGACGCTGACAGATGTGCGACATACTTCATGCACTTGGAACGGGTCTTATGCCGTGGTAGAAGAGGAATCAGACTATCGTATCATGGCTACAGGCAGCCATGCGAAAGGCCAGCTAGGGAGGAAAGACCTGAGCAACGCGACTGCACCTGGATCAGTATACCTGCCATTCTCAGCTGATACCCGCCAACTGCTCAAGCTAGCTTGCGGTAGTGAGCATGTCCTTGGTTTATTCAAGCACAACCACTGTGATGGCGTTTCGAGCGGACAGACTGAAGTATGGGGCTGGGGCTGGAACGAACACGGTAACCTAGGGACTGGGACAACAGAGGACGTCAGATTCCCCATGCGTGTATGGCCTTGCGATCAGACGGAGTGCGCAGTCAGTGTCTGGTGTGGGAATGGCACCAGCTGGATCCTTCTCAAGCGGTAGCTCCAGCGTTTAGGGCGCATATATGCGCTCTTGATTGCTACAATCAATATCATATGAATACAAGAATGCGCAGGCGGCTGGGCTGCACAAAAAGGAGGATCGGAACCGGACCAGGTCAGTCTTCATCCGTGAGACCATAGTCCCTGTGAATTTGTCTAATAGTTACTTGACGATGTGCAGCCAGCTTCCAGTCGCCGTCAGAATTGAGTGGTAACACGGTGCATATATCCAACTCACGCGTCCCATGAGTATCTATCGATTGAAAAAAGGCGATATAAATTATTGTATTCCCTTGAATAAAATGACCGACCTGAGCCGCGTCCTTGGCTTCATTGTAGCGGTGGAGATGTTTGATGTGCCTCGACACTATCTTCTCGGCGTCTTCTCCATCACTTTAGAGTAGCAGGTCGCATCAGCTGACATCGTATGTATGCAAGACATACCCGAGAGTCTTTTGCAGTTCGTCTATCTCTGCTTGCAGAGCAGCTATTTTCGCTTGTTGTTGCTGCAAAGTAGAGCAAAGTTCGTATGATTCCAGCAATTCGTACGTGAACAATACCTTTGCTGAGATGGATATATGCATGGTCTGCCGATGGAGTGTGAACGATGAAGATCTATATAGAAGGGGAGGACGGGGCGCTAAAAAGCCACAAAGCCACATG